AAGGACTGCATATAAAGTTTTTCAAAAATAAATCAAGCATGAGGATTCGTAAAGCCAGCTCAAACAGTTCGAATTTGTCAGATAAAACCCCTGAAGGACAGTATGGAGATTTCTATGAACAGAACTCACTAGTAGTACACACTGCTAATATGTAAAGAGCATAAAAGGTACATTATGGATCAAAATGGTCATACCAGTTTCAGTCACAAAAGTTCATGGCACATCTATAGCGATCCTTCGTTTCAAAATTATAAAAACAGATTGAGAAATAATTAGCCAAGAGGGTGAGCAGAAGTAGCATCTAATATGGATAAGATATTGAAACTATGGCTGCTACAATATCCGTTAGAAGATGAAACAATAAGATAGGTAGATGAAGAATATCAAGATATTAGGGAAAAAAGGGAAGAACAGAAGTAACCTCCAAAAAAAAAATTGCAAATTGATCTGCAAAAAATATGTAGCAGAAAGTTAAAGCAATGGATAACCCACCTTTGACGATATATGGTCTCTCTAGCCTTTGCATGAGCTTCTTTCATCTGCAAGTTGTACCACTTACCCTTATCACCAAGTTCCTTTGCTAGAGCCTTGTTGCCGATCAAATAAGCTTCTCTAGCCTGCAAAAGGAATAAAATACATGTTAAATTTGATTTCCAGATGAATATAATCCATTTATAGCCAAAAGGTTTGCTTGCATAGGTAAATTCATAATAAACACAAACAATGAGATTGTAGTTTCTAGTGTAGATTAATAGAAAAAAAAAGCACAAAAATTAACCTTATATAAGCTCAGGGATTTCAACAAAAACGGGATGGTAGGATAACTAAAATTCTTTTAATTCTAAATTTTTAATATACAAGGCATTATCCAACTATTTAGGAATGGCACCCTTAGATTCACAATGACTTCTGTTAAATTACATGATATATTAATGCAAGACAAGGATGACTCTAACTAAATCAGTTTCAAAGGCTGTTCATATGAGGTTTGGTGATAAAATTTTAAATATAAAAATCTCTTTTTGGAACAATATCAATCAGCCCAAATTAATGATTAAAGATAAATCAAATAGTTAATTGAATATTTCAAATTAAGGTGACATTATTTGCTTTAAAATAGAGAGATTTTGAGGGGCTACAAATATAGCCTTTGAATAAATTTTCAATGAGGAATTTCAGTGTAATTTCTTGCGGTTTCCTATTTTTCTATGGCACTTAATGTGTTAATTATACCTTGATTGATTAAATGAAAAATAGATTTGATTTATGATATAACCTTGAGCCTACAAGAAGTTGGTGTTGCTAACATGTGAATTGATTTGTAAATCAACCAAATTTTACGGTTTATGAACCCTAAAAATTTAAATTTTTCCCTTATTTCATGTTCCTACATCCCCACCACTTTCCCAAAATCTTAAACTACTTCAACCCTCAACAAAAATTAAGTAATAGCCCTTCCATAAAATCGTAGCTCCTATTATTCAAATGTTGTGACCAATCCGTATAAGAAAATCATTTCTGTTGGGATTTTTTGAGGGAAGCTTCTTGTTCTTTTTTGGATGAGAGGGAGAGAGGGAGAGAGGGAGAGAGAGGAGGAGAGAGGCATCTCAGAAGATGAAAAAACAGAAAACTAATCTTATTTCTTATCTTGAAGCACAAAAGCCTATTACAACCTCTCTATATAAAGAGACTTTTTTAGGATAAAATAAACCTATGAATCAACTATTCTAAAGCCAAGCCCCGCGCCCGTGTCAGCCCATGCCCTGCGCCTGCAGGTCCTCACACGCCTTGCTCATGTTAAGCCCGCACCTTGCCCGTATCCACCCGCGCCCCAAGGATCTCACTTATGTTCCTCGCTCACGCAGCCTAGCGGGCGATGCATCATCTTCCATTACAGCCTGTGATCGCGAGCCCTCACCTCGGCCTTATCGCAGACCCGCAGCCCCCACATGCACTCGGCCAATATCCTTCTACTTTTGATGGAAAGATAACAAAAATTTAGGGCTTAGCATGAACGATAGAATTTATAAAATTGTGAATGTATTCAATCATATAGATGAAAAATTCAGCAATCTTTAGAATTTTTTAACACAAGTTTTTAAATATGACCTAAAATCATTTCCCAAATATATGTAAAATATAAACCTCCAATAAAATGTGTCTGACTCAAACTGCTAAACCATCTACTTTAGATATTTATCCTCGTGAACCTGAACTCCCATTCGACTTTAATGTCCATGTTAACAAAACTTTTGCCACACCTCTTCCTATTGAGAGTTGTCTACCTATTATGCTTTCAAAACTTTTGAGTGGGTTACCTTAACATTTCCTAGTGAACTCATTGATAAGTCTCCTATTACACTTGAGAAGCTGATGTTTATTGTGGTCTCAATCCAAACCTTCTGATCAATTAACTAATGGCATGCTTTATAAGACTTCTTATTTTAAAAAGAATGGTGTGCTACTATCTTTTAAGGTGCAACTATCTGCTATAACTTAGATTTTTAGCTTGACTTATTTGACCTTACGGGCATACGTGATGACACTCCTCTCCATGAGATGCCTGACAAATAATTTCTCCTTGAGCACACATACCTTCTATAATCTCATATCCTCAATCTATGATATTTGAAACACACACATCAAGGAGTCCTGTGATGAGCCACCATCCATTCCTCTATGACATATTGATGCAACCTAAGTTCCTAAACAGTCAAAAGGAAAAAGGGGAAGAATCCCAAGCAGCCAAATCAGCAAAGGGGAAGAACCGAACAGCCAAAAGGAAGAGGAGAAGAATCCCAAAAAACCAAATCAGCAAGGGGAAAAACTGAACATCCAAAGAGGGGAGAGAAAGTAAGATTAAACTCAATGGCATGAACCGACCCGTGCGCACCGAACCCAGAATGATCAATGGTTGTTTTTCATCATAGGGCAACAACAACAACAACATTAAGCCTTTGTCCCACTATGTGGGGTCAGCTACATGAGCTTTTTGCCATTGTGTCCTGTTAAAAGTCAAATTCTCATTTAAATCTAATAAAGAAATATCATTTCTAATATTTTCTAACCCAGTCTTTTTATGTCTACCTCTACCTTTCTTAACATAAGTCAAATCATAGGACAATACAAAAATAAAATACATATCGTTTAATATCATGAAAAAATAAAAATATATAAAACATAAATTATTGACTACATCACATACAACCTAACATAGATATTATTGCAAAATCTTCATTGCAAGATTTGATTCACCTAATTGAGCATTCTAAGATGCATAATAATATTGATAGTTTGTTCTTAATGACTCCTAATTTAATTGACTTGACTCATGAATCATGATTCATTATATAATACATTTTTCTTAACACTTTATATGCATAATAGTTATTCGCATGTGGTATAACAAGCTGACAAGTAGTGATAATATTGTTGAAACTGTTTTTCAAAAAGCATTCAATTCCCTACCTATGAATCCATCACATACTTATGACAAGTAAGATGCTTTGACTTATAGCAAATTTTTTTGTTTTGCCACCAGACATTTTTTCGACTAATGTCTCCATTACATATGATATATTCCAATATCAAGTGTTCATTAAAAATTGGAATTGATAAACCAACTTACAAGAGATATAAATCCACTTTTAAAATTATTAACATTCTCAGTCATCTCAACAGCTATATAGACATTTTATCATTGGATGCACTAAAAGATATAGTCTCCCTCACCTATAGAGGCGCAGAGTATTACCCCCCATCACCACAACACTTTTAACTCTATAGAAGCGAACTCATCAGTGGAGAGTTGATGCAGGATAAGGACACACTTCATTAGGTCAATTTTAATGTTTTTCTCTTCTTTTCTTTTCTTTTATTTAAGAAATAAGGGTAACAATTATATTTGGTTTGGAGAGAATACTATATATATATATATATATATATAGCCCTATTTTGGGACAAATCAATCAAACCAAATTAAAATTTCAAAAGAAGAAATTAAATATTTAATTGAATGCTTTAAATTAGGGTGGCATTAGAGTTTCCAAATGGACAGAAATCATGATAGGATGCCATTATAGCCTATGGAAAATTTTTTAAGAAGAATTTAGTATATTTCCTTGTGATTTTCTCTCATTTTCTATCATGATTTATGATGCCCTTATAGCCTATGGACAAATTTTTAAGAAGAATTTAGCATATTTCCTTGTAATCCCTCATTTTCTATTTGACTTCATGTACTATTTATATCCTAATCGACACAATAAAAAATAGCATTCTATTTATACAAAAAATTGTCAATAAGAAGCACGTGCTGCTAACTTTTGAATTAATTTACGAATCTATCATAGTCCGGGTTTGTGAATACTATATATTTCTCACTTTTTTTTGGGTTCTCATACATCCCCACCTGCCACCACGTTACAAAAACCTTAAAAGTTAAAACACTTCAACCATCATAAAAATTGAGTCATTCCCCTTCTACATAACCCTAAAATTTCTATTGTCCGCCAATTATGATTAGTCAACATAAGAAATTCATAACCTCCTAACTATACATCAAATTAATCTAAATTCATCACCATTAGTTAGCTACCATCCCAAACTTTTCTATCAAAGAAAATCCAGCCTTCCACTATGATAAAATTTCATGCAAAAATTAAAGAACCAGTTAAGCTTTTCCCTTAGCTTTTCACCAACCAAAACCTTCCACTCACACTCCGATAATCATTGAAAGATATTAACCACTGCCCCATTCGACATACCAAGCCATTGATCAAAATAGGAATGTTTTCTATAGACATACTAGTATACGCAGCACAATTTGATAAAGCATGAACATAAAGAACTATAGAAGCAAATATATGTTTAGGTTCACAGCTAAAACATTGCAAAGATTCTTAGTGGTATCTTCAGAAGTTCAAATTGACGCTTTGCACCACCGTGTTTTATGGCATATTCTACAAGTAGAAGTACAGAATATGCTTCAAGTTCAGTTCTTTCCGCCATTCAAAGTTTAAATGGCGGCCTCTTGTAAGGCAGATCTTGCTAGGGTAACCTATTTCTCAGAAGTTAAGATTGCATGAGAAGAAGTCTAATGCAGCTGTGTCATTATACAAGAGAATCCCAATTTACACTCACTCCATCCTTCTATTCTAAAGGATCTAGTGTCTCAATATTAATAAATTAGTGATGATAACATATGCAAGGCAAAAGAAAAAACCATTTTGATCAAGATCATTGAAGTACAATTCATTTAACACATCTAGCCATTATAATTGCAGGAATCTATATCTGATAACCCTCTTAAGCGATTATAGAATTATGATGCAACTTCATCATGCTCACGCAACAGAAATTTTGTTAGTGCTACCTGTTGAAAGCATGCATTTCGAAGGCGAGCGAAGTCTCGAGCTTCTTCCCTAGTTGTTGAATATATATTTGCTGCCAATTTGGATTATTTTCATGACAAATAAAACAACTATGAATTATATTAATAGAAACTAAGAGAAGATTACTACCAACTGCTTCTCCAGTGTCAAGCCAAGCTGGCCCTGTCTGAGTAGCTCTTAAACCCTGCAATTTATTTTCATGTGCCAGCTTACCATGGCCCTTGTATGAGCTAGTCAATAATTGTGGGTTCACACCAGAGCTACCAAAACTATCCACAGAACCATTTCTCTCGTGTTTCCAGATACCATCATCCTGGGATGCAAGTTTTCTAACTGCAGATGCGAAATCAGGAGGGCCTCGAAAAATGCTTGAAGGAGACCTATATAAATCCTGGGTTTGCTGAATATTGTCTCTACTGTATGGTGTGAATCTGTTCTGAGAATCTGCCACAGGAAGGGCAGGGAAGTCAAGCGCATTCAGATTTGGAGTAGCCATGGCCTTTATATTTGGGTTCTGTGTGAATCCACCATCCATTTGGAGCTGCCATTGCAAGTATGAATATCACAATTTCACAGACGTTAGATTGCATAATCTGTGGCAAGATCACAGAGGATACAGGGACGATCTTCAAATAAAAACTTTCATGGTAGGCACTTATTAGGTTAAGAAGAATAGTGGGAAGAACAGAATGACATTGAATGGAGCTAGTTTTCTCATCACACGGAAAAGACCATTCAACTTGTATCAAATTTACCAAGCTATTTATTATATAAAATACTCCACTTATAGTTAAACAAAAAACCACTCGATATGATTGCAGTAAATTATCTAAAGTAACTTTTTTAGAACTTTATGCATCAAAGAGTTCAATGTAGTTAGAGATTTTAAAACCAATGAAAATTATAACACCAGAACTTTTGTCATTGGTAATAATTACTCAGGTAAAAAGGGAAATATCAGGAAACAAAACAAAACATGTAGAACGAGTTTCAAACCAAGGACAGTAAAGATGTTTAAGCTTTAAAAAACACCCTCCAATTACATGACCTATAATTGCAACTTGTTATCTAAATTAAATAAAAAATTGTGCGCTTCATTAGCATTTTGTGAAGTCACAGCAAAGCGCAATGGGGTGCACACTTCATGAAATCTTTCTTCTTTGCACCAAAGTGAAGCAATTTTGTATAGCAAATCATCACTTTTGTGAACTTCATTGAACTTTATGTGTTTTTAACAACAGGGCCGACATACCTCAAGTTGAGTAAGCATCTCAATAGTAAAATTCAAATCGCAACTATTTGCATAGTAAACTTCTGCTAAACTCTCTGCAGAAAAACCTGGGAATTGCAATGCAAGGAACTCCACATGGTTGATGGCAGAATCCTCCATAATAAAATGATCAATAAATGAATTATTGACAAAGCCAGCACTAGAACTTCCATTTAAATGGTGACCATCCAAACCATTGCTCAGATGCTGCCCAGCTTTTATGAATTGATTGTCCCAGGAATCATCAGCGGGGGTCGTGAAAGCAACTGATGTTTGATTTTCATGAAACATTGAATCAGAATATCCCAGTTCATCAGTCAGTCCGTTGGTAAGTTGGGCATGCAATGTCTGCCTGCTCGCCAATTCAGGAACTCTTGATCCTCCATTTTCATCAAATATTGATAAGCCTGCAAGTGGCAGTAGTTCAAGACCAGGAAAATCATCTTTTCCAGTGGTTGTGAAATCAGGAGTGATGTCATCCGGAAGCTGGCGTCGCCAATATTGATGAGCCTCGTCATCAGAGTTATGTGAAGTGGTAGAATCTGACCTATTCAGGACCACTTTCCTTGAAGTTCCTGGTAGATCCAGTCTGTAAGTATCATCAAATTTGTTACTTTCATTTGTGGGTTTAAATGAAGATGGAACAAACTCTGCAGCATTGGGATTTAATGTTGTTGCTTTGCTTTGAATGCTCCACTTGTCTTCCTTCTTGTTCTCCAGACCTTTGATAGGCAAACTCATCCTTATTCAAAATATAAGTGTTTATTAGAAATGTACCACAAGAAAGAGCAATTTCCTGGAAGAATTTATCCCAACCCTGCAAATCAATTAATTAGTGGTAAGAACTAAGAAGTCGCAGGGACACAATAAACGTAAAGCTTGAGTTGATTCTCATGATACTATATAAATTTAAATCAGGAAATCAGCCCACAAAAGCAATTTTTGGGGCAATTCAGCTGCAACCAGGGCAGGAGTTGCAACAATGTTCAGGCCTTCATGAACAGAAATAAAGTAAGATAATGGAATAATTCATAAAACTAATTTTTGAAAGAGTGTAAGAAATCTGAAATTTCAAAATTAGCAACGCATGTAAATACTGAAGCACCCAAGAGCTTGTTATATGCATTAACACATCTATTGTTAAATTTCAACTGCATATGAATGAAAGCAAAACAAACAGAAAAAGGAAATGATGGCAGCAATAAAAAGCAGTAAACTCTACTAATAAAAGTCAAGCAAAGGGGTAGACCGGCTGAGGGTGCATGACATGATTATCATGCAAGTCACTTTGGATTCCAAAATTGCCCCAAGTAATATAGTAAATTAACATCAAAGTTCCTGAGATTTGCACAATGTTCAAAAAGGTCGACTAGTTTTCAAGATGATTAATCAGGTCAATGAATTTCCTTTGTGGTGGTTTTAATTAATCAGTTCTCCCTTCAAATATAGACTGCATCAACATAGTTACCATCCTTCGCCCTGGCCTCTACTATCTGAGCATCAAAACAACACCAACATAGTTGCTGATCTCAAAGATTCCACGGCCCCTAAGGCTAACCGTTTCAAGTATAAAAGCAGCATAGGCTTGTTTTGCAACGAAAACCTACAGATACTCACCTACAGCAAACTTGACATCTCTAGGGTCCAATGTTTAAAATTGTGTAATCGGGTATTGAGGCGTAAGCCTCAAGACGTTCTGAGGCATAAGCCTCAAAATTAAAAAATTGTGTAAACATAAAATGATAAATTTTGTATATACTAATGAGTAAATAATATATAAAACATAAAAATGCACAAGATATGAAGTGAAATAAAAATAGCCCAATAATAAAACAACATGAATACAATAATATACTGGTCAGATCGCAGGGTCAAGGGGCAGCGCCCCTGTGGGGGTTTCTGGGGGCAGCACCCCCGGAACAAATTTTATTGTAAGAGTAATTTTAAAATTCTGCTTGTTTTTAAAGTTCGTAAGTTGTTTGTATAGAAAGATACCGAGCGGTACCGAGCATATACCGAGCGGTACCGAGCATATACTGAGCGGTACCGAGCATGTACCTGCTCGGCACCGAGCATGCACCTAGCGGTACCAAACATTGTTGTACCTAGTGGTACCGAGCATATACATTAACTTTTTTAAAAAAAAAATTAGAGGCGGACGCCTCTCAACCGTGAGGCGAGGCGCGCCAGTAAACTTGAGGCGTACGCCTCAAATCCTGAACTCATTGCGTGGACTTTGAGGCTTTAAGGGGCGAAATTGCGCTGAGGCGCGCCTCTTATTGCGCAATTTTAAACCATGCTAGGGTCTTGAGTCTTCACTATATAGATTGATGTAAGTACCTTCAAAATATTAATAAACCTAGTCTCATGATAGTTTGGAAGGCCCTACATATCGCAATCATCTACCATCTGTAACATAGCCATCTCATTCCATCAAAGGCCCATGTTATGAAAATTCACTGCCTGCAAGATGAAGTCAAAGCTGTTCCTAACACTGTAGCCATTGCCAAACCTTCTCAATTCTACAATCAGCTACAATATCATCCCTTGAGGAGTAACAAGCCCAATCTCCCTCTTTAGAAGCATTTGCTCCATCGCGGAGCAGAAGCTGCTCCATAATTGGTCGCATTATGGAGGTTGCTTCCTTCTCAATTCTGTTGGGGCAAGCTTGACATTACTCGTGCCTTATTTAACACAAAAAAAAACATGCTGATCAACTAGATTACATGCATGTTATCGATCAAAGCACCAACTTTTCCTAAGCTTTCAGCATCTTACATCAGATTTCCAACAAAGCAACATTTTAATTGATTAAGTTTGTCATACTTTCATTTTACAAAAGTTCTGCATCAGAATCTTCAAATTAGAGGAGAATTTAGCAATAATTCACAAAAAAAGAACAATTTAAGAGCTTATAAGCAGAAGTATAATTTTGGTCTGAATTTGTAGCACTAGGCTCCCATGAAGCAAGCATTACTTGATCATATTGACAGTCAAACATGAGAAACTTAAACTGAGGCTATCAGATCTGCTTCAAAATCCAAGAACACATTCCAAAACACCAAAAAATTACATTAATATCCGTATCATTCCCATAGCCCCCACTTATAGACTTCTAATTAAATTACCCTTATCCTCAGCAGCATGTTCCATAGATCGGATGCAGCAAGCTGTGCAAATGGCAATATTCAAAGCCCAAACGATGAAGATCATGCCTTACTAACACCTTCCTTCACGAGCCTCAAGGAGCATAATCAAAGATCCAACAGTTCAGAAACTAGACCCAACGTTGGAAACATTCAACGAGATCCAGGCAGTAAACACAAGGACAAGGAAAAGCAGGCAAGCAGATCTAAATCGATACGGAACAAATGAGGAATAGATCCCCTTACCTTTTCGTAAGTCAATAATCGGATAAATGTAGGGAAACAGATCCATGACAAGGAAAATAACGAGCAGCAGCAAGAGAAGAGATAGGGATTAGTGAGGCGGAGAAAAAAAGGGGCTTTTGTAAGATGTGCTCGAGATTCTGATTTTGGTACGCTTCTGGATGCAAAGGAACCTCCTTTGGAACCCTAAGCCCTGGCCTTTCTTCGATTGGATTGGGAATTGGTATCGGCTCAGTCCACCACAGAAAAGAAGCTTCGCCTACCCCCCTCTCGATCTCCACCGCCTCTCTCTCTTCTCCCTCAGCTGCTGACCCTGGCCTCTTATATAAAGATCTGAATGATATAGTACGCAAGGATTTGCTACTTGGTTTGGAACAGCGAACTCTCCACCGCTTTAATTTGGTTGTAAAGCTTCAAGAAATTACTAAATTAGATTATCATCGATCAATCAATTTTTGCATTACCTAATAATTTAAGGCTTATTAGTTTGGGGCAGTTTTTTTTATTGTTTCTTAAAAGTTATAACGGAGTTTTAATTTTATTTTGTTTACTAAAACTTTATTTTAAAAAGCAATAGAAAAGCTCTCCCAACTGAGGCTTACGCCAAATAAAACCTTAATCTCATTAAGAGAAAAATACGTTTTGTTAAACATATTTACTACCTCAATTTACTTAGGATTCCTAATATGAAGATTTTTTCACGGCTGCTAACCGAGTCTTTAAATAACATAGCCTTCTCACCCTATATCGTTCATTAAACAAGTGTATTTATAAGAATATTCACACTTATGAAGTATCAAGATGTGTTCAATTTAATGATTTTACTCAATTTGATGACTCGGATTAAATATAATGACTCGACACAATTCAATTCAATAAAAATATAATTGATCCGTAATTATCATTCATACCCATTGAGCTCGTAATTATCATTCAACTTATTATAATGATAATTACATATAATGGTAAGATTTAGGTTTTGTTTGGGAAGGATTTCATACTACTTATTAAAGCAAATTTTTAGTACAAAAATTAAAAAATTTGTACAAAAAAATTGTTTTGAGAAACAGAAAGAAAGCAATCACAAACAAAATCTTAATATGCTTATAGCTATACACATTGAGATGCTAATTATTATTAAATTTATTATGACAATAGACATGACAATCAAATCGCTTATGCTCTCATGTGAAATAATTCAAATGATTTGTCTTACTCTAACAATTAAGGCTTCGTTTGGGACGGCTTTCTTACTATTTTTTTAACCAGTTTTTTAGTATAATTTTTTCTGATTTTTATACTATAAAGCTGCCTTAAGCAGCAATAAAAACGTCGTCCCAAACAAAACCTAAAACCTAATGACCTATACTTCAACACAACCACCATAGATGCACATATCAAACATGTAAGCAACTCATAACATTATATAACCCCATACATTCCAATTAGATCTCATTCACTGTGATTTCTCTTTTTAGCCCCATTATATCAAAGCATTACAATACTTTTCTCACTTTAACAACAACAACAACAAAAACAACATCAAGCCTTTATCCCACTACGTGGGGTCGGCTACATGAATTCTTTTTTTCCATTGTGTCCTATTAAAAGTCAAATTCTCGTTTAAATCTAATAAAGAAAGGTCATTCCTAATATTTTCTAACCAAGTCTTTTTAGGTCTACCCCTACCTTTCTTAACAAATCTAATACATCTACTCTCCTAACCAAGTCATCGAAAGGCTGCCGTTTTATGTGACCAAACCATCTAAGACGACTCTCTCTAATCTTATCTTCTACTGGAGCTACTCCAACCTTCTCACTTTAACAAGAAAAATAATAACATAATGAAAAACAAGCGAGCATATAACCCCACTTCCTCTTAAACTATGGGAGATTCACTTCACTTTCAGGTCACTCGTGCATAAATTAGAGCTAATGGGGCCAACAGGCCTAAACACCACACGTGTGCTCCACATAAACCTGAAGATTTTGTATTGGAAAAAAATAAAGATCAGAGGAGCATTAATCTTTATTATATTAAGGAAATACTCATATATGCATGATCTATTTAAGGTTTCGTTTGTGATAGTTCTCTTACAATTTTCTGCAAAAGTTTTCTAATATAAAAAATTCTTAGAAACAGTGGCAAAAAGTTATTCCAAATAAAATTTTGGGTCCCGTTTCGGACGGTTGTAATTTTTTATAAAGGTGATCGTAAAATTGCGGTAGAGAAAATATTTTATTTTTTTAAAATTGTTGAATAAATCAGTTTTTTTAGCACAAAACATTATTAAAAATACTGCAAAAGCAACGGTCAAATAAAAATGATGAATAATATCCAAAAAATAAAGCAAAAAAAAAAATCCAAGTGAACCCTTAGGCTTCGTTTGGGACGGTTTTTTTACTGCTTTCTAAAACGGAGTTTTAGTACAAAATTTTTTAATTTTGTACTAAGACTCCGTTTTAGAAAACAGTACAAAAACCGTCCCAAACGAAGCCTTAGACTTCTTTTGGGACGGCTTTCTTATTGTTTCTAAAAGTAACTTTCTAGTACTAAAAAGCCGCTTTAAGAAATAATGAGAAAATCATCTCAAGCAAAATCTTAGTTTTAATTTTTTACTAAAAATTTACTAAAAAAAACTGTAAAAAAATCATCCCAATTCAAACTTTACTTTTCACTTGTTTCTTTCGTAGATTTACATACATACCACTTTATTTTATGCTATTTACATATCTAACACTCAAAACATTTTTATTATATGCCTACCACCCATAGAAAAAATTTAAATGCATGGAATGAAATATTAAAGTTTATAAAATGATATGAATGATAGAAAAGAATTATAGAAGTGGTATATTGGATATTAAAGTTCTACATGAGTGGTAGACATGTAATATTAATATTTTAGATGTTAGATATGTAAATAACACTATATAAAGTGGTATATAGGTAAATTTCCCTTGTTTTAATTATTTGTCTCTCTCGGTATGATACAGCAAGCAAATTTCTTTGGCTTACGAGGAAGAAGCCAAAGGAGTTTCTCTTTAAAAATTAATAAGCACGTAATGAAGTGGAGATTGGGAAGCTTTGTGATGGAGCATGTGATCAGGCCGTACATGGTGGGGCCCTGATGGATAAATAATTACATTGTTAATGTTTGAGAAATAATATAATATTCAAAAAAGGGTGGACACAAATTTATTCCATTTCCACAGGTTTTTGATGGGATGATCCAATGAAAATTCTTCTTAAGAAAATGGACGCCATTCTTGTAAGAGGCTATTTAATTGAAATATTTTAGGGTTGTTGCGTCCTGGAGTGTTCGCGGCGGTAGAGAAATATAAAGTTTAACGTCTTAATGTTGTACGAAAATCTGGCACGCAATCAGATAAGAGAGAGGGTGTAGCATTCATATGAGACACCAATATTTTTATGCAGAAAACCTCTAAAAAGGGGAAAAAATCACGGGACTTAGCCCAGTTTGAATGAAGCCACTAGTATTTGCAGTTGATTACAAATGAGGCCCTTCATTGGGGGGAAGGCCTTGGCTCTATGTACATAATATGCAGTACATTACATGGTGGGAATACAAAAAGCTACTGTTGAAGTGCTCATTTGGTCGGACGAATTTTAGTCGGTGGGCGACATAAGTCAGAAGGATCGTAGTCAGCGGGCGACGGAGGTCGGAACAACTGTAGTCGGTGGGCGACGTTAGTTAGAAGGACCGTAGTCGGCGGGCGACGGATATCAGAAGGACTGTAGTCGGTGGGCGACGTAAGTTAGAAGGATCGTAATCAGCGGGCAACGGAGGTCGAAAGAACTGTAATCGGTGGGCGACGTAAGTCAGAAGGACCGTAGTCGGCGTGTAATAGAGGTTGGAAGGATTGTTGTCTAACGACGGAGATCAGAATGACGTCGTCAGGTAGAAGTCCATCTATGGATAGAAATCCCACATTGGATAGTTATCCGGTAAAAATCCAACAACTGGCAGATGTCCGATGTCAGGTAGAAATCTGGCGACAAGCGGAGGTCGGTCGTTGGGTAGAAGTCTGAATTCAGCGTGCGACCGAGGAGAACTCTGGCGTTAGATGGTATTCGGGCAAAACTCCGGTGTCACTTGGAGATCGGGCAGAGTACCGACATCACTGAAAAGTCGGGCGGAATTCCGGCTTCACTTGGAAGACGGGCGGAATTTCGGCGTCACTTAGAAGTCGAGCGAAATTCTGGCGTCATTTGGAAGTCGGGCAGAATTTCGACGACGGTGGTCGAGGAGAGTTTCTTCCCTCCTAATCTTCTCTTCTTTTCTGGCTTGGATCCCCTCTCAAGAGAAATGAGGGACTATTTATAGTTTTTTTTTTTTTTGAGGATGGCATGACCCGTAAATAGGAGGAGGATGAAGGGCAAAGGTGGAGTGGTTCGGATGGACATTCGGTTTTGAAACCCTTAATTATGGACCGTTTGTTAGACATTTGAAGGTCTTAATGATATGGAAATTTTGCGATCTTAGGCTCGTTGGATTTGTCTCGTGGAGCCGCTCGATTCGACTATAAGCATGTCACATTTGGAAACCGTTTAGTAATCCAAATTGTGTTTTGAACCTTCCAACAATGCTTCGAGTCTTTGATTCATACTCATTTGGGCTAAGATTGAGTTGAATTTGGTGTCGTTGGGTTCGTATTTTCGAGACGCTCAATTCGATTGTAAGTTTGATGAAATTAGAGTTTAGATGATCCCATATTTAATTTTTGAAGTTTCCAATTGATTTTTGCCTCGAGATTCGTGTCCGATCAAGATAAATTTTAATGACATATATGAGGGTCTCCAAAAGGATTCTGCTCGTGTGGTTCGAATGCAAAGGGTATGACCACACTATCCCGTAGGACAAAATGGTCGTAGGCCTTTACACCTGACACAAGCAGGCCAATGGAAGAGCATATGGAGTTATAAATACAATTAGCCATGAAGGATAGCAGCTTTCACCTACCAACCTCAATGGATAATAATATACATAACCCAAAATTTCACGAGATTTCCCCCATTCGATACATCAGCTCGAATGGGGTTTATTTGATTGTGGGGATCATTTCCTACAGGTGCAAGCCCCCGTAGTTAATTACATCTTAGACCTTGATCTAAGAAAACTCTCGATTATGGATGTTAGATTATCTTCTCAAAGATGGGTTTAGCGCGAAGGAATTTCTAGGCTTTACTAATCAAAGGGAAACAAAGGCTCAATTTGGCTTAATCAATCATACGTGGTTCAGATCCACACTCGGACGATCTGAGGAAGAGAAAACTGGAGAAAAGAAGAG